TGCTAATTTATTGATTAATGATGCATGATGTGTTAGATGACCTAATGGAGTTTATGTGCATAAAAAAAAGTGTGAGATGCATAAGCCAGATAAAAGTAGAAGGGTAGGACAAATTTAGGGTATTACACTTCAGTGTTGAGCCCCGGGTTCAACACGGACAACTGATTCACAATGGTCTCGAAGCCATCGGCCAACGTGTCGACACAACCTGACTCGAGGAGTTGAATGCGAGCAACAAAATCGGCGCGAGTACGCAAATCAGTTACACCCTCGGGTTCGTCCTCCGCCAGAGCATCAGCCTGTTCCGGAAACATCTCTTTGCTTCTTTCAAGGGAGGTATTTAATTTGTGTCTTTGCTTGAAGAGTCATGTTCTTTGACTCCAGTTCCTTGACTCGACCCGCAAGGACCACGACCATCTCCACCATATTCATCACCCCGACCATACTAGAAGCCAAATGCTTCATTCGACCTCTGTCGTCGAGTCACCTTATGATGTCAGACTCATTGTCAGACACATTTAGAGGGAATCCCTCAAAGAAATCCTTGTCCACGAAATAAGGCGGGAGGCTGAAGGCTCGGGCAGTCGCCCCTCCAGTCACACCAGCAACCCCATCTATGGGGCGACTCCTTTTCCTGTCCAACACAACAGCTTGCTGATCGGCACCGTGGGTTCCCGACGACCCACTGGATCCTTCCTTGGCCGACTCAGAAACTGAACCCGTGCATGTAGGCTGATGCGGCTTCACCAACCTCTTATGGCTCTTTTTCTCTTGGGTTAGCTTTAACAACCTCTCGCGATGTTCCGCCATGTTACCTGCAAAAACAAAAATGACATCCTCGGGTCAGCCTCGATGGAAAAACAAAACAAAAGAAAAAGTCAAGTCAGGAAGTAAAAATATAGCAAAATAAAATGAGCATAAACCTAAGAGATTCACAACTTTCCCATAAGAATGACACTCGGCGAGCGCCTTAATATTGATCGGGCATGCTTCGAACGTCGGCTCACCATCTTCATCGAGGATGTCATGTCCTCCCCTCGTGACCCATCTAATAGGAAAGAACCCATCGACAAACCGATTAAGGATACCATATGCCTCTTTGTCCTTAACGCTCGTGCCACCAGCGGGAGTATGGTAATGTCCGGGACCATGATCGTAATGGCTCGAACACCAGTGGATGGAAAACTTCGAGATTCTCCCCATCTCCTGCTCGCCATTTGCATCATAGCACGATTCACCATCTTCACCCACAACGGGAGCCAGGTCGAACACGACGTCCACAATAGACTGAGAAGTAGGTCACACGACATACCATCTGTCCTTAAAGTCGCAGACAGAGTCCATGTACATCCTGAACAACCTCTTCGACTGTTTGAGGGAGACCCAACTGTGCTTCCCGCCTCAGGACTGCCGTTATAGATGAAAAACCCTGAAGAATAAGGGAATGGTCGCCCCGATCCTTAGGAACCGATAAGTAATCTCGAATGCCCGGATGAAGGCAATGGCGTTCGGGTGAAGCTGATAAGGTGCTAAGTTTAAGTGATTGAGCACCCCCATCTGGAAATCGTTGAAGGGTAGGAGGATCCCCTAATCTCTGAAAATGACCTCGTACATGGGGAAGCGGTCTTCCTCAAACTCCGAGCATATCCGAGCATTGGGCATTGGTCGCAAGATCGCGAAGTTCCTTTGGAAGCCTTCCTGATCACCGCCATGCTCGATGACAATGTAAGCATGCCTCCTACTATAGCTATATATCGAGGCTATCCCTCGAGGCTCTGCCCTAACCCAAGCCAATGCGGGATCGTCAATTGTGTCAACCAAGTTGACACCTTCCTCGACTACACTGGTCTCTTCGATGTCCACGTGCTCGGACAATTTATGAGTATCGACCATTTTACCTGTAAAGCAGAGGAAAGTCGGTAATTTCGACAGCAAATCCAAATCCATCCTTCTGCGACACAGGTAAAAAGGTTATGCGACACCCAAACCAAGTCGACAGTCCCTCGTGCAGAAGGGGTGATACTCGGCCCTCGATCAGGGCATGAAAGTCATGCCGGTCTTATAAAACCACACATCGGTTATAACGACGAACACTCATTTTCATGAATACCCCGAGCACAGGAAGAACAACGAGTAAAGTATGAATTTGCCGACCAGACTCATGAATTCGTCGGGGACCGCACAAATTTCTTGCGCAAAATCCATGAATTTTGCGGGGATATATGAAGAATATGGGGTAAATTCATCTAAGTGTTGGGAAAATGATGAATATCACGGGCTCAATCACGAAAATTACACATAAATACATGAATTCCCCGAGCAGAACCCCCCAGTCGTGAAATTCTACATCTAAAACATCATCAAAACAAAAGTATCGCGAAAAATACTTACTTGGACAAAGCAGATGAAGAACAACGAAGGTTGAAGAAGAACGCACGACGGATTTTGCGGCGACGGAAGGAAACGACACAGTGTTGGCAATAGGGAGAGTGGAGAGTGCGAGAATGTAATTGTAAATAATGGGCCTTGAGGCACTATATATAGAGATGACATGGAATGCGAAATGCCGCGTTGGGAAGCTCAACAACCGTCTTTCTCCCCGACACCTACACACTCAACTAATGATGACCCCTACTCCCTAGGCCATCATTACAATCCCAAAGGTCACGCCACGTGCCTACACCCTGCAAGGTTTCCCATCCCCGCGACTAGAATGGTCCCATCTCGAGTCAATTCCGAATGCTACTCAGGTAAACCCATAAACCAACGACTTTCTCCGTCAACACAATGAAAGATCCACGTCGAACATCGCACCTCGCGAAAGAAAAAGCTGGAGTTAAATCATAACTCCTTCATCAAGAGAAACGACTTGGGAGGCTTCTGTTTTGGACTGGGCCAGACCTTGGCTCAACTCCATGTGAGACTCAACTCAATTACGTCGATTAAGACATACTGGTGAATTCTGCCCTCGATCACGTCGGGCAGCGACTTCCATTTCCCGCGATGAGGCAACCCCACTGCACGGGAATGAATATTGATTGAAAAAAAAGAGAAGAAAATGGCTTTTTATAAGGAACGACTTTTAAAAAGTAGGGTAAAATATTATAGATTTAAAATTTGAAGTATAAATAAGCCGCAAAATAAGCAGGATTCATAAATTAGACCCCAAAAGTAAATAGGAACTACCGTGCAGAGAATAAATAGGAAACATAACTGCCGTCTCATCAAGTTGGTTCCAATTCACGTTCATCTCTCCGCCGTTTTCAACAGTACATTTAGTTTGGTGCTCGAATCCTACATCGGAAACTTGCTACGGGAAAACACCAACGACGGTGTGTTTAGTTGCTAGTTCAACTCTAGAATATATATATATATATATATATATATATATATATATATATATATATATATATATATATATATATATATGAATCCTAGCATTACATATATTAAATAATTTGTTTTTTATTTTTGAAAATAAAATTTTAAAATTGAAAAAATCTAAACAATTTATGGTAGGTAAAACATAAATCGTAACAATAATTTTAATTGATCTTTTAAAATTAAGACAAGAGGAAAGATAAAAAAAAATTAAAGAATGAATATTGATTGAAAAAAAAGAGAAGAAAATGGCTTTTTATAAGGAACGACTTTTAAAAAGTAGGGTAAAATATTATAAGTTTAAAATTTGAAGTATAAATAAGCCGCAAAATAAGCATAACTCATAAATTAGACTCCAAAAGTAAATAGGAACTACCTTTTAGGATACATAACTGCCGCCTCATCAAGTTGGTTCCAATTCACGTTCATCCCTCCGCCGTTTTCAACCGTACATTCAATTTGGTGCTCGAATCCTACACCGAAAACTTGCTACAGGAAAACACCAACGGCGGTGTGTTTAGTTGCTAGTTCAACTCTAGAATATATATATATATATATATATATATATATATATATATATATATATATATATATATATATATATATATATATATATATATATATATATATATATATATATATAAATCCTAGCATTACATATATTAAATAATTTGTTTTTTATTTTTGAAAATAAAATTTTAAAATTGAAAAAATCTAAACAATTTATGGTAGGTAAAACATAAATCGTAATAATAATTTTAATTGATCTTTTAAAATTAAGACAAGAGGAAAGATAAAAAAAATAATTAAAGAATGAATATTGATTGAAAAAAAAGAGAAGAAAATGGCTTTTTATAAGGAACGACTTTTAAAAAGTAGGGTAAAATATGATAGGTTTAAAATTTGAAGTATAAATAAGCCGCAAAATAAGCATAATTTATAAATTAGACCCCAAAAGTAAATAGGAACTACCGTGCAGAGAATAAATATGATACATATCTGCCGCCTCATCAAGTTGGTTCCAATTCACGTTCATCCCTCCGCCGTTTTCAACTGTACATTCAGTTTGGTGTTCGAATCCTACACCGGAAACTTGCTACAGGAAAACACCAACGGCGGTGTGTTTAGTTGCTAGTTCAACTCTAGAATATATATATATATATATATATATATATATATATATATATATATATATATATATATATATATATATATATATATATATATATATATATATATATATATATATATATATATATATATATATATATATATATATATATATATATATATATATATATATATATATATATATATATATATCCTAGCATTACATATATTAAATAATTTATTTTTTATTTTTGAAAATAAAATTTTAAAATTGAAAAAATCTAAACAATTTATGGTAGGTAAAACATAAATCGTAAAAATAATTTTAATTGATCTTTTAAAATTAAGACAAGAGGAAAGATAAAAAAAATGATTAAAGAATAAATATTGATTAAAAAAAAAAGAAGAAAAAGGTTTTTTATAAGGAACGGCTTTTAAAATTTCATTCAGCAATGCTTTTTTCTTTTTGTATGTTCTAACTTCCTTTTTGTGAACCAAACCCTAGCACTATGAAGAGTTGTAAACATGTCCCTCCCACTTCTTCCAACCTGAAAAGGTCACATTAATAGACCAATACTACTAATTATTAGTTTATAGCACTGGTTGATTTTCATTCTCTTATATAATTTACTACCATTGGCATTGATTGTAATTTATTGTATAATGAAGCTTGCTTTTAATTCTGTTTTTGTGAGCGTGTGTAAAATTCGAGCTACACTTGTTCATAACAAATTACTACCTTGTTTAAATGATTTAATGTTTTATCATGCTCATCTAACAACACGCTGTTATAAAATTCATATTGCTCTGCTTGTCTTTTCAGGAAAAAGAAAGAAGATAATGGTAAGGAAAAGAAGAAAAAAGGTAGAAAGGTGGAGAAAGTGACGGATGTTGACATCATTGAATCTGAGAGCTTGCTGGAGAATGAAAGTGATGGACAAGGTTTGATTTAACATGTTTATTATGACTTTATTCTGGGGTTTTTGATTAGAGCTTATAGGAATACCTAGGGAAAGGGTTTTGTGGTTGTTGTTCATTGTCGTAAAAGTACAAGTAAGGTCCTTTTGTTAGGCTGTGATTAATAATTTGTCTTCTGTAGTCTTCCCCTCATATTTGACAGCATAAGATAAGATAATTATACATTTGTGGAATACCTGTATGATGGTTTTGTCGATTTTTACTGTTCTTAGGGTTTGACGATGATTCTCCTAGAAGCAATGTTGTGGAAAGCGTGCTGCAAGATTCCGACGACAACGATTCTGGATTAATAGAAGGTTCTGAGACTGAAGAGGACATTGGGTTTTCTTATTCAGATGAAGAGGATATTAGAACAAACGGTGGAGCAACATCTAAGAATTCAGTGGATTTGAGGTTTGTAAAATTAAATATCTCTCTTTTTTGTGATAGAAAAGTTTTAATTTGAGAGAAGAACAACGAAAGTTAAAAGAGCTAAGCGGCTGATAGATGCACCAAAGCTCTTCAATCTCAATTCCAGTTAGAAATGGAAATTGCTATATCTATCTGTCCATACTTTTTAAAAAAAATTTCCACAACTTATTTCCATGTTAATACTTTTTTAACTGCGTCATTTATGATTTTGACATCTATTCCATGGTTTTTAATGAATCTGATTAATTATAACTAGCTAGTTGATTTTGTTACTTTTTGTATTTTTTGATCATTATACATAGGTCATGACAATACTATGTTCACTTAGCTTGCTTAATCCGACATTGCTTTTTGTTTCTTTTTACGCAGCTCTTTTGATTTACATTTGCAACATAATTTATCAAAAGAGGAAATTGATAACCAAAAGAATTTGAAATTCAGCTGGGATGTACCAGTTATCGGTGTCTCAAATTGCAAATGGATAGGAACTGGAGAAAATATCTTGGAGGTATATAGTGCTCTTGGTATACCCATGATTTCCTGTCTCTGCTGCCTCATTATGAAAGTTCAAATTTAGCACAGTTTTATAACCACATGCTGATCAGTATACCTTATCATTAAGGAATGGGGAATGGTTATCATTGCAGTCAAAATAAACTATGCAGTGGTTTGTTTCAAATGGAATAAACATCTTTTGACAGATAAAACTTTCCTTTTAATGTTAGTTTTTCCCTTTACCGCCTAGTGGGAAAAAGAACTCGGTTATTGGTTATTATTTTAAATTTCCCCTGTCATTAACATTATGCATGTCTTTGCTTTGTTGAAATTTTATATTATTCATTTTTTGACATCCAAGAAAAATCATAATCTTACACCGGCTTATAAAAGATGTTCTTTCTTCAACTTCTGTTGCCTCAAGTACATATTACATTCTTTGCTGCTTTCTCTTCTAGGATTTTGATACCAACTCCTGTCATGGTCTGAAGGCAAAGTTACATGAGCATTGGGTCGATGTGTCCAAGACATCTGGAGGAAAGGATATTAATTCATCTAAACAGCAGATGTTTTTCTCCCTTTGTAAGTTGTTGAAATATTATTTGTATAGTGCTCTCTATTGTTATAGCAAGATTCACTAAGTTGAGTTGATGTTCCTTTGTTGAATTATTTTTTTGATTGTCGCCTGCTACAGGGGATTCAGGCATAATGTTGCACATTTGTATATGACATAATTTTAACTTTGATTTTTGTAATCCTTATTTGGGCATTCACGTCATGTTAACTTGTTCCAGGCAGCAGCTACCGGGATATACTTCACTGTAACAAGAGACCATTCTATTTAAAAGGCCTTGAAGACATTAGCATCATGGATGCATACATAATGCATTCTGTAAGCAAATTTTCATTTCATTCTATATAAAATGTGGGGACTGTTTACATAATCACTTAATAACTGTTTTGCACAGCTAAATCACGTCTTCAGAACTAGAGATTGTGTTAAAAAGAATGATGCTAAACTGTCTAGGCTTGAAGAGGGTGCTGATAGTGAGAGATTCCGAGATCAAGGGTTTCTTCGTCCTAAGGTAATGTATCTTTTGTCTTGACTGTTCCCTTATGATGGAGGATTTTCTATTATAATTGAATTGTTCCCTTGATATTCTCTTAAAATGAACTCATAATTCTTACTTAAGAAATGTGAAGGATACTTGAAAGATATTTTTTCTGTTGCGTGATCCAGGTTTTAATTTTGTTGCCATTGGCAAGTATTATGCACCGTGTTGTAAAGAGGCTGATACAACTTACACCTTCAGCTTACAAGGTAACTTAGTGTTATACTTTTAAAGTTTATTTCTAATGCTGTCAAGCTAACTATGCTCTTGAACATGACATAATATCGATGCTTGTTCTAGACTGAGGTGTTGCTTTCAGCCCTTAAACTGGGCATTCGGTTGACCTTTTTTTGCACATGTTATTTTAATGAAATTGCTTACTGGGTAGATTGTAATGCTATTCAGTCAGTTATCCTTATTTGTGCTTATATTTCGGGATACAAAATGCTTTCACTGCTTGTTGTTGTATTAGAGTTATATCTTAGAATATGAATAATCAGCACTATAGAATAATTAAGTTCAGCCTTAATTTAATAGAATAAGAAAAGTCTTCCTTAATTGTAGAGCTTGAATGATTCAACTCTTGAATGTTCATCTCCTCTTGTATAAATAGAGCATAATGCTCCTTTCCAATTAAGCAATAACAGAATTTGTTTCTCTCTTTTCTCTTTTAGCTTTTTCTCTCTTCTCTCTCATATCTCACTCTAATATGGTATCATAGAGCTTCGGTTCTATCCATGGCAGCGATTCCAGTAACTACAGCTCTGGCCACCCCAACATCTATGTCCTTCCAACTCAAAATCACAGAAAAACTTGATGAGAAGAATTTCCTACTTTGGCGCCAACAAGTAGATCCTTTCGTTAACGCGAACAATCTTCAAAACTACCTTTACCTTCGTGACATACCGAATCAATACCTGACTGATGAAGATCGTGCCACTGCTCGTGAGAACCCTGCGTATCGCACCTGGATTACGCAAGATCAGTGGCTTATGACGTGGCTTCAATCCACGCTTTCACCTTCAATTCTTTCACGTGTTCTTGGATGCGTTCATTCCTACGAGCTCTGGGAACGTATTCTTGCGCATTTTCAAAAGCTTACACGTGCGAAAGCAAGACAACTACGAGCGGAACTCAGATCTACAACACTTGAAGACAAATCTGTTGGTGATTATCTGGTTCGCATCAAAGCTCTTGTTGACGCGCTTGCGTCAGTAGGAGATCCAGTTCCAGATCAGCAACACATTGATGTGATTCTTGAAGGTCTTCCTCAAGACTTTGCCTCTGTTATTTCAGTTATTGAAAGCAAGTTTGATTCAGTAGAACTTGAAGAAGTTGAAGCTCTTCTTCTTGCTCATGAGATGAGATACAACAAGTATAAGAAACACTCACAAATGGAGGTGGCTGCCTCAGTGAATCTCACTCAAGCCAATTCTCAACCTGAAACTGATAACTCGAATAACAAGAACAATGAACAAGCTGTGAATTCAACCTTTAATCCAACCTATTCAAGAGGAGGCCGTGCAGCTGGCCGTGGTGGTGGACGCGGCCGTGGGAGAGGTAGGTTCAGCAACATTCAATGTCAAGTTTGCTTCAAATATGGTCATCTTGCTGCTAACTGCTATCATAGGTTCAATCAACAATTTCAACCTAACATACCTGCTGATTTTCAAACAATGAACCTACAAAATTTCTATCCGTATCAACCAATTGGTGGACCTCAGTTTGCTCAGCCCATGGTTAACACTCGGTCACGCCCAAGCTATCAACCAAGACTTGCCCCTCTCCCTGTTCCTCAGTCACATATCACTCCCAATGCTATGATTGCTAACACAACTTCAGTTCCAAGCAGTGCCTGGTTCCCAGACTCAGGAGCTTCTTATCATGTTACCAATGCCTCTCAAAACATACAGCAAACCACACCTTTTGAAGGTCCTGATCAGATCTTCATTGGTAACGGTCAAGGTTTGCACATTCACTCTTCAGGCTCTTTTTATTTTCCTTCTCATTCTAAACCTAACACTCCATTAGCTCTTCATAATTTACTGCTTGTTCCTTCTATTACAAAGAACCTGATAAGTGTCAGCAAATTCTGTCTTGATAATAGAGTTTTCTTTGAGTTTCATGCTGATATGTGCTATGTCAAATCTCAGGCTACCAATGAAATTCTGCTCCAAGGTCGTGTAGGAAGTGATGGCCTGTACCAATTTTCCCATCTTCAGCTTCTTAAGTCTCCTTCAACAAGTCAAGTCTCATGTCTCACCTTAGACTCTAATGCTCATGTTTCAAGATCTGATTCCAGCACTAGTGATAGGGTTTCAGTTTCTAATCAAAATGTATCAGCTAATAACTCATATAATTCTCAACATACTTGGCATTTACGCCTTGGTCATCCAAATTCTAATACTATGAGACTTGTTTTAGCTCAATGTAATATTCCTTATTCTAATAAAGCTGAATCTATCTTTTGTTCTGCCTGCTGTATGGGAAAGGCACATAGGCTGCACTCCCCTCAGTCACAAACTCAATATCACTCTCCTCTTGAATTAATTTTCAGTGACCTATGGGGTCCTGCCCCAGTCAAATCCTCCCAAAACTTTACCTACTACATCACCTTTGTTGATGCATACACCAGATTTACTTGGATCTATTTGCTCAAAAATAAATCTGAAGCCTTAACTATCTTTAAACAATTCAAAGTCATGGCTGAATTACAATTTGGATTTCCTATTAAATCTGTCCAAACTGATTGGGGTGGTGAATTTCGCCCATTTACAAAGTTTCTTTCTGATCTTGGCATTATTCATCGCCTAGTTTGCCCTCACACTCATCACCAAAATGGTGTAGTGGAGAGGAAGCATAGACACGTTGTTGATCTTGGTTTAACCCTCTTGAGTCATGCCTCTTTACCTCTCAAATTTTGGGACCATGCCTTTTTAACCGCTGTCTACCTAATAAATAGGTTACCAACCATGTCTCTCAATCAACATATACCATATGCTGTCCTTTTCAATCAAAATCCTGACTATAAATTCCTTAAAGTCTTTGGGTGTGCTTGTTTTCCTCTCCTTCGCCCATACAACTCTCAAAAATTTGACTTTAGATCCCACGAGTGCCTTTTTCTAGGGTACTCTACAGCTCACAAAGGTTACAAATGTCTCTCTCCAAGTGGTAGAATATTCATCTCTAAAGATGTTCTTTTCAACGAGTCCAAATTTCCTTACAATGATCTTTTTTCCTCTAATGTTTCTCTCCCCTCATCAACCATTCCATCCTCCTCCTCATCTAAAGTAACCCTTAACACACAAGCTCTCCCTCATGTTTTTCCCGTTCCTACTGCTTCCACTACCTCACACTCCTCTTCTTCTTCTCAATCCAATTCCAGCCCCACACCTATTGTCTCCCACTCCTCTTCTTCTTCCCAATCCAATTCCAGCCCCACACCTACTGCCTCTGGGTCAGCAACCCCTATAACACAAACAGCCAGCACTAATCCTACTCCTTCACCCTCTTCAAATGCCAACAATCAGCCTACTACTACCACTTCACTATCCTCCTCCTCTATTTATGCTCCTAGGGATCCTAACCTTCAGCCTCTCCCCACCAATACTCATCCTATGACTACTAGAACTAAATCTGGTGTACCCTTACCTCGTCTAAATCCTTCCATTTTTCTTGTCAATTCTGAGCCTAAGAGTGTTAAAACTGCTCTCCAAGATCCTAAGTGGTTTGCTGCTATGCAAGAGGAGTATGGTGCCTTGATAAGGAACAACACTTGGTCTTTGGTACCACTGCCTGCTAACAGGAAAGCAATAGGCTGCAAGTGGGTTTTTCGTGTAAAGGAAAATGCTGATGGGACAGTAAATAAGTACAAAGCTAGGCTTGTTGCTAAGGGGTTCCATCAAGTCCATGGATTTGACTTTAATGAAACTTTCTCCCCTGTTATTAAACCGGTCACAATTAGAATTATTTTGACTCTTGCTCTAACTTACAATTGGCCTTTGCAGCAGTTGGACATAAACAATGCCTTTTTGAATGGCATTCTTGAAGAGGAGGTCTATATGATGCAACCCCCTGGATTTACTGCCCCTAATTCATCTTTGGTTTGTCACTTGCACAAGGCCTTGTATGGCCTAAAACAAGCCCCGAGGCAATGGTTTGAAAGACTCAAAACCACTCTTTTATCCTTTGGCTTTCTAAACAGCAAGTGTGATACTTCACTTTTCATCTACAAGCATCACAATGCTGTCATTTATATGCTGGTTTATGTTGATGATATAATCATCACAGGAAACTCCCCTCCTCTCATCAAGCAAGTTACTCAACAATTAAATCATGTGTTTGCTCTCAAACAACTTGGTGACTTGGATTATTTTCTGGGCCTTGAGGTGAAGAAATTGTCCAATGGAAATCTCCTTCTCACTCAATCTAAGTACCTAAGGGACTTGCTAATCAAAACTGATATGGAGAATTCCAATCCAGTTGCTACTCCTATGGCTTCCTCCACCAAACTCATCAAAACAGGGTCTGCTGCCTTGTCTGATGCCTCCCACTACCGGTCCATTGTAGGGGCCCTGCAGTATGCAACAATTACACGGCCAGAAATCTGCTATGCTGTTAACAAAGTATGTCAATTCATGGCACACCCCTTGGAGTCCCATTGGCTAGCTGTCAAGCGTATTCTGCGCTACCTAAAAGGAACTATCACCTCTGGTTTATTGTTCACTCCAGCCTCCACTGTTCCGTTCTCTCTACAAGCCTATTGTGATGCTGACTGGGCTGCTGACCCAGATGATAGAAGATCCACCTCTGGGTCAGCTGTGTACTTAGGCCCTAATTTGATCTCTTGGTGGTCCAAAAAGCAAACTGTTGTTGCTCGTTCTAGTGCTGAGGCAGAGTATCGCAGCTTGGCTCACACCACAGCTGAAGTTTTATGGGTTCAAACTTTGCTAGCTGAACTAAAAATTCCCTTGACAACTCCAACCATCTATTGTGACAACCAGAGCACAGTTGCTATGGCTCATAACCCTGTTCTTCATGCAAGAACAAAGCATATGGAAATTGACCTCTTTTTTGTAAGAGAAAAGGTGATTAATAAGTCTCTCACTGTCTGCCACATTCCTGGTGTTGACCAGAAGGCTGACATCCTCACCAAGCCTCTCTCATGTTCAAGATTTATGGAGCTCAGCAGCAAGCTCAACCTGTCTGCCTCAAGTCAGCCTTTGCAGCCACCTTGAGCTTGTGGGGGAGTATTAGAGTTATATCTTAGAATATGAATAATCAGCACTATAGAATAATTAAGTTCAGCCTTAATTTAATAGAATAAGAAAAGTCTTCCTTAATTGTAGAGCTTGAATGATTCAACTCTTGAATGTTCATCTCCTCTTGTATAAATAGAGCATAATGCTCCTTTCCAATTAAGCAATAACAGAATTTGTTTCTCTCTTTTCTCTTTTAGCTTTTTCTCTCTTCTCTCTCATATCTCACTCTAATATGTTGTAACGAAATTGTGCTGTTGTTAGAGAGAGAGAGGTGTTAACTTTAATTTTTATTACTTAAAGAGTTCAATGCACCGATGTGAATGTATGACAAGACAATTAGAGTTAGTTATACTCTTATAACTTGACTGCTAGAACTTCTAGCAGTCAATAACTGATGTATAATGGCGTGATATAAAGTTGGTTCGGTGATTGGTGTGGGGGAGTTAAGGAGTGGAGTAATAAGGAAGTCGAGGGTTCTATCTCTATCCACACCATAACACTAACATATACTAACATTTGTCTTTCCAAAAAAACTGATGCACAATATAAAATTTTCTAGAAACAATGAATATCTGAGGCCACTGTACAACTGATCAGTTTATTGCATTATCCTCTTGCATCCACCTGTAAAAAAAATCAGAAGAGCAGTGGTGGTGGAAAGCTGTCTTGAAGTCAGTTACCTTGTTGAGCTTGGATCACAATCCTAGTATTGTGTTGGAGAGAAAGATTTGTCAAAACATTAGCATGTTGATGTTGGGCCGGAATGTGCCATACACAAAGGTTTTACTGATGACCTTTTCATGAACAAGAAAGTGGTTTAACTCCATCTGTTTGATGAAACATAAAGCACCGGACTACGTTGGGACAGTAGCGAATAGTGGTTAGTAAAGTTTGAATCCGTAAACTTCAGCTGCTCTATGAGCGATACTTTGATACCCAACTTCTGTGCTGGAATGACCTAGAACATTCAAATTCTCGAACCATCATGAAAATACGCTGGGACCAAGGAATATGCAGACAGCTGAAGTAGAGCAAGAGCGGGTTGAGCAGCCTTCCAATGAGAGTCAAGAGGCTGTGAGTCTGACAGTTACTGAGTAGCTAGTTTCAGGTTTGACGATGGTTGCATACTGCAAAGCACCAACAATAAACGTATATATGAAATAATCCTGAACTTAATCAGACCCTGCTTTAGACAGTTTACAGCTTGCAAACATAGGCGAGGATATTTGTTTTGCTTCAAGCGTGTTGGACTGTTGGTGTCCAAGAGATCTTGAATAATTTGCTTTGTGTAAAATAACATTGAGCATGTGGGGGAAGATCTAGCCATAAATCAAATGCAATATTAAACGTCCTGGGCTGCTTAAAAGCAGATTGTAATTGTAGTCATTATGATATAAGTTACTGAATTAGTGGGGGGAGGGTTTCTTGAGATAGTAATGTCATCAACCTAAACTACAAAGTAACAGACACTTTGGATTAGATGAAAAGAGACGGATCACATTAGGTTTTAAATGGTTCATGTAACTTTCTGCTTATGTTTATGGTAATTGATTCATTGTTGCAAGTGCTGGCTATTAGCATTTTCTATTTTGTTCTATCACACTTCTCTAGAGCTAGATTAAATATTTCTAGTGGCGCTTTGTAATGTTAGTGTTTGTTTTCTAAGGTCAATGTTGAGCATATGGATCGTTTTTCCACTAAATTTGGAGGTGAAGAACATAAAGGTGACAAGGAAAATGGCGAAGAACCTGAAAGTGCAGACCTTCAGAAGTCATCCAAACCGGACGACTTTCAATTACTTTTTGAAGGCAATAATGAGGACGACTTTATGATTGGCATCAAATTTACTAGGTTATCACACTCCTATCATTATAAGCATTGTTTATTCCAAGACATATTGTGAAAGCTTGTAGAAGTCCCCCATCAACATATGTAATTATAGTCATTATGCTTGTTATTTGTGGTTATTTTTTTCAATTGTTTAATGGACGATGGTGATGGGATTATTGGTGTAAGCATAGTTCGTTTTCCAAAGTCTATATCAGTGGCCGATCTACTTTAATAACTATTTTTGGTTAACTTTTACTTTTATAACTTCTATCAGTAATCATGTTTGAAATGTATGGAGACCTAAAATTATTATTTGATATCATGGATTATGCCGTTCCAGCAGCTGCTTCAGTATCATATATAACTCTACAATAAAAAGTAAAAGACCCTTAATGCAGCCTAGGGGTACTGTCACATGCAAAATATCTAGGTCTATTTGTTTTATGAAAAGTTTTTCGTTCTAAGTTTCTGTTTTCACCTTAAACTATGAAAGAGTCCTTGTTGATTTCACTTTGTTTCGTACTTTCAAATATTTGTGTAGGAAATAGTAAATAATAGTCCACTTACTCAAACCAATTAAAAAATTACCATCTCCCATCTTATATTTTTTCACACTCAAAAGTGTTTTCTCGATGAATGGAAATTTATTTTTTCTAATTTTATATTTGTTGCAACCTAATTCAATATGCATTTATTATCCTATTTTTAATATAAGTTTTATGCTTCGATCCTTGCAGGAAGACGATCAAGTTGTTCAGTGATTTCCATACGTCTGACTTAATTATTGCTTCACCACTTTGTTTGGTTAATGTAAGCCAATTTTTTCTTTCCTTTTTGATTTTTTTAGTTTCCTTTAATTCATATTTGACTCTGTTGACCTATTTTTGATCTTGTTTTTATTAGAGTTTGTTTTAGTTCTAGCTTCTATTTTATCCCCTTTACTAAGGCTAGTGCCAACTGTTGACAGCTGTCACAAACTCTTACCTCTTTGTACTTAAAGTAGGCGTTCTCAGCCTATTCAGTTCATAATAACTTTTTACCAAAGTTAACCTCAACTTATACCATTTTATGTTTTTTTCGTATTGTTTTGAAATAGCCAGTGTTAGTTGTTAATTGTTTAGAGCGGGAGTTGAACCCATGACCTCCTTATCACCCCAATCCCTATGTTCCTCTCCCAAACCACTTACCGACTCCCTATTTTTCAGTATCTTTACTTTCTGTCTCTGTTCGCCACTCTATGAGCATGAACCCTACATCCAATTCTTAGAGTTGTGATTGATTCATTCAAGTTTTGCTTTGAAAAATCATTGCTGATAAGTGTCGCATAGTAGTCATGGAGAAGAATAATGATAGAAACCGGTACCAAACAGAGAAATTTATAGTAATTATAAATTATAACGAGTTCCTATTAAATTCCAATAAGAAATTTATAGAAATATCTCAACAATAACTTTGCCGTATATTTTGTTCCTCCGTATGAATTTTATTGGTTTTTGTTAATCATCCTCTCAAGCTTGTGCAGTTATGCTGAACATTTATTTTATGTATTGCTTATATAAGCTGACATCAGATTGGTCTGAATTTTAGAAAATTGAAGAGACCGGAAGCAATAAGGAAAAAGATGTAGATTTTCTTTCGTCCATAGAGGTAATTGCCCTACTCATAATTGTTCTATTGTACTCCATATGTGGATAGGCATATTACCCTGTATATGGATAATATCATATGAAGTTGACAAAGTGTGTTTTTCTAAGCAGGTTCTCATTATTGATCATGCAGATGTGATAGCAATGCAGGTTTGTATTGTTTGTTTAAGTTATTGCAACAAACTCACTTTAACAATTATTTAACTATATGAATTCGGTTTCTCACTATTGTTGAAACTTGTCAGAACTGGTCGCATGTGCATACAGTTATTGAGCACTTGAACCGCTTACCATCGAAGCAACCCAGAACAGATGTTATGCGCATTAGACCATGGTATATTCTATTTTAGCTTTTCTTCATTGAAGCTGTTTTTTGTGTGTTTCCCACTTCCTCCTTGATCAATATAAAATTTGTCTGCTTGTTTTGCATTGTTATTATAATTTGGCATATGGAAAAATTATTGTCACTGACTAAAATTGTGAGATCATTTATTTATTTTTTTCTTATATAAAAACAAAATAAACTATCTTACAACAGCTAAAACAAAAAAGTTAAAATAAGGGAGGAGGATAAGATATCCTTCTACACATAAAATAAATGAAAAGTGTTATAGTAAGTGTTTATCAATCCCCAATAGTGGGATGAATGAGTGACCTTAAACACTAGGGTGTTCGCGTTGGCATATTAAGTGGTCGGACATCAAGTCCACAATTTTTTTTTTGTTGCTTTTATTAGAAGTTAGAACTGCTTTGAAACACAAGTCTGTAGTAAAAACAAACACTATTTGTGTGTTATCTCGGTATTATTTTTTCCTAAGAGACCAGATTTGCACTCACGCACTTGTGTAGATGTGTGAAAATTAGAAAAATCAGTACACTTGAGTCACAAGGTCTGCGAACTGGAAAGCTACAAGGAAGCAGTGTATATGCCACTATGGGTCAAAAGATTGCAATTTAGTCTAAGTGAAATTTATTTTGGCTGAAGCTGGGTTAGTAGTTAGTACAAAAGATCTCATGCCTGTTGTTACTTGTTACGCATGGTATTTGTATTCTCTCTATGATTTCTACTCAGTTGGATGGCACATAAAGGACTGCCCTTCTTTTTTAATTCATTGTGTTGGACTATCTGAAATATCTCATGATACCTTTTTGATATCATGTTAGACTAACTTAGTTTATCTCCTAGGATTAGTTTTCTTTTATTATTATCATGGTTTGTTCCTTAATTTCCCTAAATATTAAATACAGGTTAGTGTTTAGTCTTGTGTATCTAATTTATAATCTATCATATTAGACAATAATCCTATTTCTTCTTATTCTTCTTTTATCAGAAACTCGTAACTTCAATACTTTGCTTATGTGTTGCATGAACTGCATGATACACTCAGATTGTTATAGATGATGGGGTCCAAAGTGAAAATTGAAATACATTCCCTTAAAAATATTGAGATACATAACTTTATATTCCTTGTTTAGGTATCTTGACGAGCATGCCAGATTTTACAGGCAAACAATAATTCTGGGTTTTTTCTCAAATCCAGGTGATGAATTTTCCTTCCTGGTGGCAAATATTTAAAGAACAATTCACATTTTTCCTGTTTTTTCATTCTTTGGAGAAAACCATATGTAACTGTTAACCCGGGCAAGGGTCTTCCTTCCCATTCTTCTTTAATTAGACTTTTGAATAACTGTGGTAGATGTTAATATGATTGAAAAATGAATATTTCTTTGCTACAAATGGCGATTCCCAATGTTATTTTTGTAAGATTCGTTTCATCCATTTGAATTTACACAGCAATCATCATGATAGTCTATTTCCAATTATATATTGTTGATGTTTTTGGGCCTGTTTGGCTAGAGAAAACCTTTTGTTTTTTATTTTATGTTTTCAATTTTGATTGCAAAATTGCCACCTTGAGGGGAATTGTTGGTTAACCTGTGGTTTATTTAACCAAGTTATTCAGGAACTAATTCATTACTAGTATTGCTATCGAGTCCTTTTCTACTTGCATTATGGAAACATGACCTAACATATTATAACCTCCATATTTACTTGTAGATATAAACGCTTCATTCAATCATCAATGTTCTAATTATGAAGGGAAGGTATGTAGCATATTTGGTTGCATTTCCTATCTATTTTATTGGGTTCAAGGTTTCAATTCAGGATGATTAGAGATATGTCTTGGCTGAGAAGTTTCTCACCACAAAAAAAATATCTTAATGTTTTCCTGGTCCTGTGTGTTATTTTATTCTTATATATACAATTCAACTCAAGGGCATAGTTGATATGGCTCGTTATGCATAGAGATCATTGCAATGAAGTGTATGGTTTGAAGCAATTGGACCAATCGAAATTATTATGTTTCTGCTTTTCATATCTTATTGTAATTAGTCTTTTTAACTGTTATTTGCAGGTCAAGCTGATGTGTGAATATAAAGGCGTTCTTCACAAAGTGCTCCCTAAAATTCAACAGGTATGCTTTCTTAAAATTGCTTGCTATTTGTGAAAGTAATATGCATTTGGTGGTTTTATGCTATTGCAATGCACTGAAGTTCTATCTGATGCATGCTATACATTTCATATTAGAAGGAAACAAATTAGGTCTAGGTTTATTTCTTTAATTTAGTAGGCAATCTTATAACTCCTCGATTTCCTTTGATCCTACGTAAAATGATTTTCAATGTTGTAATATGACTTAATATTTCATTAAAAAATGGTCATTAATGGTCTAAGCCTGACTCACCCCAAGAGCTAGCTTAAGAGGTGAGGATTTCTTGAAACTCACAATAATTATTTCGCCGTCGACTTCATGAATTGATTCTCACGGGAAAAAATCCTAAAAAATGTGGTTTCTTTTACACCCCAAAGTACAGCTGCCCTTTCCATAGCTATTCCAGCCTAAACATGCACTTAACACTTTCGCAAACACATCATTAGCCAAGTAATACAAGATTTATATTATTGGGAAAAAAAATCCTAAAAAATGTGGTTTCTTACACACCAAAGTACAGCTGCCTTTTCCAAAGCTATTCCAGCTTAAATATGCACTTGGCACTTACGCAGACACATCATTAGTCAAGAAACAATACAAGGTTTATATTAATCAAATTACTTAGTAAACTAAAGTATAATATTGAAAGTTTGGGGTCTTACAGTTGATCCTGTTACGACACCCTTTTGCCTTTGGCTTGACATTTAGTGCATGGACAAATATGGGTGGCCTTATAGCAAATAAATGTGGACAGATGGATGTTGGAGGAGGGTGCTGTTGTTGCTGCATAGGGAGTGTACCACACGTGTATCGGCAATCAGGGTTAAAACTTAAAAGGAGATGGTTGGGGTCGAATGATGGCGGCATGGGTTCATGACGGTGGGATAGGGTTTTTGTCTTTGTTACAACTGTGATCAGGTTTGGGGAGAGAGTATGGGGTAGTTATTGTGATTTTAAAACAGTTAGGAGCTTAAAATAATTTTAGATTTGCTAATGTATCCCTTTGTGTTGTTCACCACTCTAAACCATCGGTGTTATGCATTACACAGTGCCAATCCTACGGAGAATAAATAATCCCAAATTTAAAGATCAAACTTTCTTTCTGTTAAATTACACATAACTTTTAAATTATTGCATATTGTTAATAACATGCATGGTTTATTTGTCTTTTGTTCATAATGGGGTCTGTCGAGGGTGCTCACAAAGTCTTTATAAGTCCATGGGGAATTAATTGGATTGCTGCTCATAGTTAAACCTGACATATAACTGGAAATTGAATGTTTTTTGATAACACATCGTATAATTATGCTTTGTTGGCTGAATATTCATTCTTGTAATGATTCATTTGTTTAATATACTAATGTTCTGTCTTTGTTAAATTTTACTTGATAGAGTTCAGGCTTTTCATTTTTCTTTATCCTGTTTTATCAATATTTATGTTATATTCAGATAATATTTATTCTATATCTTATCTTGTAGGTTTATGTACGGTTTAATATAGACTCAATAGTAGATGCTGATGACAACCGTTTTGATTATTTTGTGAAGAAGGTATGAATTATGGAATCACGCTTTTGAAAATTGTGTTGTGTTCGAGTAATTTAGTTGCCCATTCTTTCTTTCTCGCAATTTGCAGTCATTGCTAGTCTTTGTCGAGTAATTTGGCTCAAGTTTGATGAATAGACACGATTTTGCAACATTTTAGACTGAAATTCCATGAGTGATAATATGCAAATCAAATTGAATAAAGTGATGGTTCAGACGACTTAAATGAATGATAATTATATTATGTGCTTGTTAGTTAAAGCTTATGACACATTAAATTGTACTGAGATATTCTGTGAATCATTTTTGCAGGTTTTCCCAAGAATAAAAGATTCTGATGAGGTCAGGATTTTAATAAGCTTCATTTTTTTCTAGCACACATGCCTGTGATAATTTAAATTTATATACATATATTTAATGTTTTTTAATGAAATCTTTGATGCAGGGAGGGATCATGCTATTTATCAGTTCTTACTTTGAATTTATTCGAATCCGAAATTTTTTAAAGTCGCAGGATGCCTCCTTCTGTCTGCTTGGGGAGTAAGGAGCCATTTCCATTATTATGCCATTATAGCTTTAATATCAGTGTGATTTTTACTTAATCATAACTTCATAATGCATTTTTGCAAATTCTTAAAATGTAGTTCTCATGTTTCATTGTAATTTATTTGTGGATCTTTTTGATTTAGGTATTCAACCCAAAAGGATATTTCTCGTGCACGTCTTTGGTTCTTTGAAGGGAAGAGAAAAATCATGCTTTACACAGAGAGATCTCATTTTTATCACAGATATAAGGTTGTGTACAGTGAAATAGTTTTTTTTTTCTCCCTTTCTTATAGTTAGTTTATTTAATAGTGGCATGTTTTGGTGGTTTTGACATTATTCTTAAATGCACTTGCTTTTCTCTTACTCAAGAGTTATATTGATGCATAATAGAGTACAAATTATTCCTTACTACAAATTACTCAACAAACCACCTGATTATTCCACTCTTAAGGTTTTTGGCTGTGCCTGTTATCCTTTCCTGCGCCCTTATAACACTCATAAGCTGGCCTATAGATCTCAACAATGCATCTTTCTTGGTTATTCCTCCTCTCACAAAGGCTACAAATGTCTTGCCTCTGATGGACATGTCTACATCTCTAAGGATGTTGTGTTTCATGAAGCTTTGTTTCCTTATTCCTCCTTATTTCCCAATTCTTCCAAAACTTCAGTTCCTTCATTAGTGTCTTCCAGTGCTACATCTGTGCCTCCTCTTTCCATTCCCTCTGCTGCCAGTCAGTCTTCATCTTCCATTTCTCAGTCCTTATCTTCAAATTCTCCTTCCAATCATGCTGGCAGTCACAGTCCCACTCCTTGTTCTCCTCCTTCTAATACTTCTGGTTCTTCTCCTGAATCTTCTACTTCTGCCAGTCAGCAGATGGTCACTCCTGTTCCTCAGCCTCTCCCTGCCATTCCTGCTCCCTCCTCTCCTTCTATCTCTCCTGCTCTAATCCTCACTGATCCAGCTGAAACTAGTACCATCTCTCCTTCCTCCTCTCACAATCTTTCTGAACCAGCTACTTCAAGCCCTAATCTCAGCCCTCCTACTTCATCTTTACCTTTCATTCACCCTCAAAACGTGCACCCTGTGCAAACTAGAGCCAAAAGAGGTATCACTCTACCCAGACTTCATCCTACCCTCCTTTTAACCCACACGGCACCCACTTCTGTTGGTCAGGCCTTGGCTGCTCCTCATTGGTTTCAGGCAATGCAAGAAGAGTATCAGGCACTGATGAGAAATCAGACCTGGACATTGGTGAAAGCTCCTGATTGCAGGAAGCCTATTGGTTGTAAGTGGGTTTTCAGAACAAAGGAAAACCCTGATGGCTCCATAAACAGGTACAAGGCCAGATTAGTAGCTAAAGGATTCCATCAAAGGGCTGGCAGTGATTTCCAAGAGACTTTCTCACCTGTCATCAAACCTGTAACAGTCAGAATCATTTTAACCATTGCTGTTAGTAACAAATGGACAATCCAGCAAATTGATGTTAATAATGCTTTCCTCAATGGCACTCTTGAAGAGGAAGTGTTTATGCAGCAGCCTCCTGGTTTTGAAGCAGCTGACAAGTCACTGGTGTGTAAATTGAACAGGGCGATTTATGGTTTAAAGCAGGCTCCTAGGGCCTGGTTTGATAAATTGAAGAGTGCACTGGTTCAACTTGGTTTTCAAGCTAGCAGGTGTGATCCTAGTCTCTTTTTGCTGCATCAAGGCAAGCTTCAGGTCATGATTCTGGTGTATGTTGATGATATTATCATCACAGGCAGTTCAGCTCCCTTTATTACCTCATTAATCAAGCACCCCAACAACAAATTTTCACTGAAACAATTGGGACAGCTTGATTATTTTTTAGGTCTTGAAGTCTCTCATCTCTCTAATGGTTCTTTGCTTCTATCTCAAACCAAGTACATCTCTGATCTACTGACCAAACTTAATATGCTCAATGCTAATGGCATGCCCACTCCCATGGTTTCCAGCAGCAAATTATCCAAAGTTGGCTTAGCTGCTGTGGAAGACCCAACTCACTTTAGGTCAGTTGTTGGTGCCTTGCAATATGCCACTTTAACTAGGCCTGAGATCTCCTTTTCTGTCAACAAAGTTTGTCAGTTTCTATCCAATCCTTTAGAGGATCATTGGAAGGCAGTCAAGAGGATTTTGAGGTACTTAAGTGGCACTCTGCATCATGGTTTACTCATTCAACCTGCCCCTGTCCAGCAGCCTATGCAATTATTAGGATTCTGTGATGCAGATTGGGCATCAGATCCTGATGACAGGAGGTCCACTTCAGGGGCCTGTATCTATCTTGGTCCAAATGTTGTTTCCTGGTGGTCCAAGAAGCAACAGCTTGTTGCTAGATCCAGTGCTGAAGCAGAGTACCGCAGCATGGCTCAATTGGCTGCTGAGCTCATTTGGATTCAGTCTTTACTTCAGGAACTTCACTGCTCCTGTCAGGTGCCTAGGATCCTGTGTGATAACTTGAGCACTGTCACTCTGGCTCATAATCCTATCCTACACAACAGAACCAAGCATATGGAACTAGATATATTTTTTCTGAGAGAGAAGGTTCTCAGCAAACACCTCTCTGTGGTTCTGTTCCAGCACAGGATCAGTGGGCTGACATTCTCACTAAACCCTTATCTGCTGCCAAATTTGTACCTCTGCGTTCTAAGTTGCGTGTGTTAGACAAAATTGCTTTGAAACACCCACCAGCAGATTCTAAGGGGGACTAATAGAGTAGTGGTATAATGTAGTGAAATAAGTGTGACTATTTCAGTAGTGGATAGAGTAGTGGAATATGTGTGTGTTCTATTATTGCTGAGCTGGCAGCTTGTTTGTCACAGTTTGTTAGACTTGCTCCACTATATATAGCAAGCTCTTTGTATCTTTCTAATATACAAAAAATACAATGAGAATTTCTTTCATTCCTTCTATTCTCTCTACATTAACAAAGTCTATCAATGCAAAATTGATAAATTTAGTTTACTTCATCACAGATTCGCGGGGTTAAGAATTTAATCATGTATTCTCTCCCAGAGAGGAAGGAGCTTTATCCTGAGGTAAGCAGGCTTGTAAATAAAATAGTATATTTTTCATGGCTGTGTTTTAGAATTATTTCCCAGCCTAATTATTTGATTTACTGTAAAGAAATTACAATCAAAAAGCACTTTATTCTTTTTATTCTGTTTATATTGCCTATTAATAAAGAAAATTTAATTTAGGGATTCTCTTTTTTCTGTTGATTTGCTTTGTACTATTTTATTCTCATTTTACCCTTATGAATGAGACAAAGTGAAAACAAATTCTTAATCTCAGGTTTTATTCTTTTCACTGACATTCATCATTTCCATTGCAGATTGTAAATGTGCTTGATGGGTCTGAAAACACTGCGTGCACCGTCCTTTTTTCGCCTCTCGACAAGTTTCGGGTAATGACTCACTCTCTTTGACGTCCCTTCAGAATTATGCTACTTGATAGAATGCAGTGTATGTGGATTTATATTAATATTTGAATAGAAAGGTGTGATTGATTCTAGAGAGGGATTGTCAAAATTATGTTAAGCCAGTGATTTTGCCGAAAGCTACACTTGTAGCTTTAGCAAAATCACGGTATTACCGCAATTTTGACAAACCCACTCCTCATCCAAACCTACTCTGATTATTTGGTAACTTGTTCTTGCATTGTTGGATGGTAGTAGTTTTTTGCAGTGCCTGTTAATTAAATTTATCTTTGCGATTAGTAATCTTACGTTCCTTTTGATTTTCTTCCCACATTATTTAGCTTGAAAGAATAGTTGGAACTATTCCAGCGAAAACCATGGTGGCTTCGGAGAAACCTGTTTTTGTTTTTTGCGATTAGATTTCTGCTGCACTCCAAGGTTGGAACAATACAAAGCAGCTTGTTTCTGAAATTAATAGGCTCTTGGAACTGATTTCGACAAGATGTAACTCTAGAATTTTTTGTAGCCATAGAATGTTCATTCAGTTTTGTGTAACTATAGAATTTTTTTGTATACGTAACATGTATGCAGAAGTAATTTAAAAAGAACAATATTTAAAATTGCCAGGGTAAACTCGGTGTTAGATTATATTCACATAATACATGCGTTAGCCTGTAATTTTTTTTTGCAATAATTATGTATTGAAAAAAAAAACACAAATAATCACATATTGGAGAAAATATGCAAATAACATGTTTCAGAAAACGTTAACATACATTAGTCAACTGAGATGACGCATGCACTTGAAGTTTGGTCTTAGGTGCTATTCTATAGAACACATATTTTTCTTGATTCATGTGAGATGACACATGCTCTATATTTGTGGGAGGAGGCGCTATCTAAGATGACTCCTACATGTAATTGTTTTTTCTATAAATAAAATTTATTTTTCACCGTTCTCCACACTTTTTCACATTTTCTTTTCATTTTCTCTCTATTTTTTGCATCATAACATCTTCCATGATTTTCACGAGAGATGGGTATGTTATTTTTTCGGCCACATTCTATGGAGCGTGGTTAAGAGGATCATCGAAGTTGGGGAATAAATTAGAAGGATCCAAAGAAGAACAACCACTTGCAACTGGAAGACCTCATTCTTGGCGATGATGCGTGTTGTTGATGTTATATTTATGTGACGTATTTGTTGTTGTTTTAGTTGTGATATCTTTTTATTTGTTGTTTGCGTATGGTTTGTTGTAATAAATGTTCTTAATGGAAAAAAAATTTTGTTTAAATCTTTAAAAAGTGCAAATAGTGTGCATATAATATTTATGTTGTTGAGCTAGTAGCGCGAGTGAGATAATTTTTTCGATTGTGTCTGACCTGATGGCATAAACCATACTTTCTTTCTAGCTTGTCAAGTGAGTCTATTTCAATTGTGATATGTTTGCTTTTGGGATGACTCTTTTTATTCATTCGTATTTGATCGTTGTGCCAAATTATTTCCCCTTCATACACAGGTCAATAATTCGGTTTCGCTACCACTGAAAAACCATTGTTATATATATTGAGCAAGGTCTCGGTCTTGTAAATGGGTAATAGAAGTAGTAATGCATCTTGATGAACATACATACATGCCGCAATGACATGAGAGCAAGGTATACGAAATGCTTGAAATTTTCCACAATTGTACCAACGAGATGGTAATATAACCCTATACTCTTGTCTTAGCAGCCCCTCGTTGTGGTCGAGTGTCTCTTTGACAATGAAGTTGTGGTTATGTCGGTCGAATCTTGTAACACGATGCGTGTTGGCATTGATAATTTCAACCTTAATAAATTTCATGCAACTTTCACTCCATAGTTGTCCCGATTGTAACACTGTGTTCCATATTTTATCTCTTTTTGCAAACAACGAAGTCATCTTAAAATATATTGATTTCTCCAAAGAGGTTACTGGGAGGTTTCATATGCCTTTGTAGACAACGTTCATTGATTCAATAAGATTTGTTGTCATGTGACTCCATCGTTGTCCACTGTCGTATATTGATTTCCCCAAAGAGGTTATTAAGAGGTTTCATATGCCTTTAAAGACACCGTTCATTTATTCAATAAGATTTGTTGTCATGTGACTCCATCATTGTCCACTGTCGCATAACCTCGTCCATTTCTCCACCAGAAGATTATCAATCCACCTACCTGCATCCGAATTTGACAATCTGATTTCTTTGCGATAGTATTTAAACGAAGGTTGTGTTAATACATACTCCGCGTTCATAACTATTTTTCGAAAAGCGTTGTCTTTGATCTCCCGCATAAAATTTTGTACGAGATGTCTAACGCATTAGACATGCGTAGAAGGGGGGGGGGCATGCCAACCATTGGCAAGATTATTGTATGCACTCTAAATAGAAGCATGTCTATCGAAGATCAAGCAGAGACCATGTTGCGGAGCCACGTGTGTTCAGAGATTCTTGAGAAAGAAACTCCAAGCACCACCCGTCTCTCCCTCGACTAGAGCAAAGACAATTAGAAAAATGTTATTGTTGCCATCTTGTACAATTGTCATCAGTAGCGTGCTTTTGTATTTCCCGTACAACCACGTTCCATCTATCTGAATAGTAATTTTGCAAGACACAAACCCTGTGATACAAGGTTGAAAAGTCCATAACAGTCGACGAAATATTCCATTTTCGTTGACACAAGTACCGTCTAGAGCATATGCCGTCAATGTTTCCATAATATAAACAGTTCATGGAACATACGTTCAAAGTGCATGTAGGTAGCGTTGTAGTTCTTTGTGTGAATTCTCCCAGTTTTCGTATATCTTTTCAATAGCCTTGGTCTTTGCTAACTATGCCTTCCTGTATGAGGGAGTATAGTTGTATACTTCAGTGATGTGAGAGATTATTATTTTCACCTTCAGTGACGGATCATGCTGACGAGAGGTAAGATTTCTTGACATATTAGATCATAATTTAGTTTACGAAGATCTTGTGATTGAGTAGAATTAACGCAAGTGTGGGTGGATATAAAATATATTATCCAATAGTCACTTCTTAACCTGTATGATGCAGTGAGCCCGAACATACACTCTGGATGGACACACTTGATTTTGTACCTATCTGCATTTATTCGATCTACCTTAAAATCAACAGAGTTTATCATGTGAAACTTTTTTATAGCTCGCACGCAATTTTATTTTGAGCAAAATTTGTATTTCTCTTTTAAATTTTCATTTGACTACATATACGGGTTGGAGAAAACATATGATGACGGTTCATCTCCGCCCATGTTGAAGTTTGTCATGTGTGGAGGTGGTGTGTAGATTTCGTTTGGAGGTATTTCAGTTAGCTCATCGTCTTCAGAATCATTGTTGACCATGTTATCAAACTCTAACTCTTCATCTTCCCCTTCTTCGTCAATGACATTTACTTCAAGTTGTTCGTCTTCAATGAGATCAATCACTTGTGACCCAATTAGTTGTGACAACTGAGACTCTTGGAGTACAATATACAACTCAATCGAGTCGTACCCAGAATACTCATGATTAGAAAACATATTCTGAAGGTCCTCGTCATCTTGAACCTCTACCTTATACAATTTTATTTGGTTCTCACAAAAAAACCGGATGTTAGTAGAAGATGTGTGACACTGGACCTCGTTCAAGTTTATCCACAATTTATCTGGAGACCATATTTGGGTTTAGACAATGAACCAAACCCTGAGGATGCAACAATTTGGACTGCAATCACAGGGTCCAATATTGTAGAGATGCACCACAGCGACCGTGTCAAGATGCGGTTCAGAATGCATCAAGAAATACTAGGCAATCCAACTTGTTTGTCACCTTGGCATCTCAAAAGAGTCGACACCCAATGGAGTGTTAATAATTGGAAAGATTTCACTCCGGAATAGTGTAAGATGTGGGATAGGCGTGACTGACATGTCTTACAATTCCCTGTTTTCCTCCCCCAGAATAATATGTGACACACAAATCAATATATTGATTGGTACAAATCGGTTACTAACCTTGAAATATTTGTCTCTCACCCGAAGTATTTGATCGATCCAAGCACACAATGAGCACAACCCTCAAATCTCCAACAACACTACCAACAATCACACACCATCCAACAACAACCTCAACAACAAATCCAACACACACCAACCTCCCACCAAACACCACGACGATATAGATCCATAAACACCAAACCCCAATCACAACCTCAATACGAATACACCCATATGCCCACACCCAATCATAGTACCAAGAACACCAACCATACATCCGTCAACCCGATGTAGGCCCCTCATCATCTCACCTTAGCCCAAACTTTGACATATCTAAAGAATATTTTCCAACCAGCCCAACTTACGATCAACCATCACATCACCATAACATCCAACAATCATAGTACTAAACTCTACAAGATTCATTTTCTTTTTACTCCCTTATTCATACGACCAATGCTATCGACCACCCATGGAGCCCCGCCCTCCACCAATACGACCAAACTTTAAGGGCATGGGTAACCGGCTGTTTGAAAGCGGATCTTTCGGATATGTTGATCTGGCATATTTCATGGATTCTGAACGCATTGACTTCGCAGGGCCCTCGATCCAACCGCAACAGGAAAATTATCGAAACACACCACGAGTTAGGCGAGGACGCGGGTGCGGAATCACAGATCGTTATCGAGTCCCGAGAGACAACAAAATAATATGTAACTTTTATTCTTATTATGTAATCGCTTAATTATTATTGAAAATCGTACTTTTATTTACAACGAAATTGTCTTTTATTTCTTCAACAAAAAAAATTAAAAAAAATGCACTTTGGACTTAGGCGTCATCTGAGACGGCTTAGGGCAAATCACATGCACCTAGAAGCCGTCTCATTTGACGTCTCTTTTAAAAAAATCAATGCATGCGTCATCTCACTTGATTACTGCATGTTAACGTTTTGTGAAATATGATTATTTGCATAATTTTCTCCAAAATGTGATTACTTGTGTATTTTTTTTCAATACGTGACCATTGCAAAAAAATTCTTAGCTTGTTAGCTTGGTGGTGAAATATTAATTTCTAGAAATTTATTATTTTTATGAATGTAAAATGAAGTTAATTGATTGGTCTTTACTTTTATTTGATCTTACTCCACCAAACGCCCACTTGAATTGGTATATAGTTTTAGAAAACATTAAAGAAGTACTTCAAATAATTTTCTTGATGATTCTGTTTGAATTTCGCTCAATTTGGTAGGGATAAATGTGCTTGTGGTATTTGTTGACATTAGAATATGGCATCTTTCAGCCAGCAATTGTGAACAATCTTTCTTTCTCAGTATATTTTTCATTTGCAAATATAAACTGATTATTAAAATGCCCGTTTTAAATTAGGAAAATACGTGGAGTAAACAATTGAAAACAAGTTAATTGTAAATTTCCATTTCTCATACAAATTAAAAAGATGAGTTTTACTATAACGGACTTATAATTAGAAAGTTTTATATCTTAACATGAATGGAAAGAAAAAGCAGTAGAAGCATATAGAGAAATGCAAATGTAACTTTTGATGAATGTTGAGGAAAAAATGTTTTACTGAAAGAAAAAGCAGTGGAAGCATATAAAAATGCAAATGTAACGTTTGATGAATGTAGAGGAAAAAGAAGCATATAGAATGTGTCATCTCATGGTTACCTTATAGAATGTGTCAACTCAATAAATAAAGAAGAGAATAAACAGTTTTTCGGCCATTGTTGGCTACGGAAAGTCTCACAAATGGATGCAACAAAACTGATAACATTCATGAAAAAGCAAGCAAAACAAATCCATGCACAAATCCATGCACAAATCTTAACCAACAAAACTGCCTTTAAGATTTAGTCTACACGAGCACAAAATGCCATGGAAAAGCATAGCACAGAAAGAATAACTAATAGGACTTGCGAGCATTTATGAATCCAATTAATTAAAATTCAAATATCCCTCAATTATAACACTTTGAGCCGATGCCATCTGGCGTAAACTTTCCACTTTTACTCCTTGATCTAAGTTCTTGAATGGCAATAAAGGATCATTCTGATTACATCCATTCCAATATGGCAAAATTTCTGTCACAAATTTATTGATATACTTCTTCTTAAAACCCTCCTTAACAAGCTCTTCATGTTCACTGAAATCCCCTCTCATATCTAACAGAACACTGCACAATCCTTGACGATTACAATAATCCAAGATCACATCCAGATTTATTTGATCCACATATACAATTTCAATTCCTTGTTGAGCCTCTTCAGGAGTGGCTGCTGTTCTACTATCTGTAAAGATTATCACTTTGCTATCATTGATGACTAATGGCATTTGATTTGAAGAACCAGAATCTTTATGCATTATAATCTGAATAGGTTGATTGGCTCCAGGTTCTTGAGATAAAGGTACCGAGTCTACTGACAAACTTTTGCCGAATAAGGAAGAAGACAGTATAACTGCATCATATTCTTGTAATAGCTTAGAATAATATCCACCAGAGTCAGCAACTCCTTTCCCAAGTGAGTCCAACAAGTTTCCATTGACAGAAAGAGAATACCTGTAATGCAGGAAAAATCAGTAACAGTTTTTCACAAAATATTTCAGTATTCTCCATTTTCTAAGCATCCCACTCTCATTTTTTATCATCCAACAGCAAAATCGGGGATTGGACCAGCAGTGACACTGGCAGTGTCCGTTAAGGAGGTGCAAGGGTTCTCAATATCTTATTTATGTGTTTCATTGACAACTTGAACCACCCGAAGTTCAACCGTCATCGACAATATTTAGCTATCATTAAAATTTTGATAACTCATTTTTAATCAAAACCTTTGAAATGCTACTATTTCACATTATCGTTTTTCAATGTAAATGATAGTTTTGTAAGTTTTTTTTTTTGTTGCAAAAGTGTCATTAATTTGTTTTCTTTTAATGTCACAGAGTACATTCAAAATCAGTAAGTCAACAATGAGGATGAGGACCGAAAACACTGTCATCATGTCTTTTTCTATCATATCTACATGATTTTTGCTACGATTTTTCCTCTCGCCTAACTATCCTGTTGCACTTTTGGTTACAATACTATGCACTACCTAGATTTTTCTCTTTATATAATTTATTGGAAATTTCTAAATGACAAAAAATAAATGATCTAGTATTAGCATGTGGTACGTTTGAACCATCCACAAGAGGATGACTACCAACCATTTGACACAGAAAATGTTATAATCAGTATGAATTTTAGTTTATTTTTCTTTAAAACATTTGTTTTTCAAAATTAAGTGCAGGTCCATTGCCCACAACTGACAAAGTTTAGTCTGTCCCTGATTATATTTTTGAATGCAATTATACCTTGCACAAAAATGTTGTGTGCAAGCTGTCCAACCAAAAAGTTATTCTAGAATCAAGGATTGTTATGGTCTATGTTGTCATCATCGTAGATAAAAACTTCACATTAGAGTCCAGTAAATAATTCAAATGTGCATAGAAGTGGAGCTTGAGGTCAATTGAGGCTATTCTGTTCAGAATCCACGACAGGAGATCCATTGGTTTGTGTTTGAGATACAAATGGTTTTGTTTAGATAAAGGTTATCGAATATATAGTTATGGAAATACTGTATTCTGTTAGGGAATTATTCAGGTTTTGTACTGACTTTGTAAGCTTCTATCCAAATCTTTTGCACATTTTGTGCCTAGATTAGTGTCTTTTAACTCACTTTGCCTTTCCAATAAAGTTTTTATTTTGGTTTGTTAACTTGAGTTAGTTGACAGTTAATAGGTTTCAACTTCCTATGGTTGCTTTGTAGTCGCAGACATAGGCACACTTGGCCGAAATGCGTAAACAAATATCGCGTTCGTGACTTGCGATTTACATTCCGATTTCTCTTACCATTAGTTGTTCTAACAATATCTAATGCAAGTAGATTGCAAATAGAGTTAAATTTTGATAATGAATGTATGAATTTTCTTTTACTCCTTTATTTCCACATTCAGTTGTAAACATTTCACAAACATTGAAGTTACTGCATATTTATGACAACACCAGAAACAGCCCCAAATGAATGTTTAGAGAAAAGCAAATTGGAGTATATGCGTAAAAATAGAGGTGGAATCGAATGACCTCAAAGTAAGCAGAGGCTTTCCGGTCAACATGCTATGAATATAACCCTCATTGAGGCTCTTACACAGTTCTTCCTCAACACCAACAACAACTTCAATTCCAGCACCTCTCAATCTATCCACTCCTTTGGAAGCCACAATAGGATTTGGATCCACCATCCCAATAACAACCTTTTTAACTCTAGCTTCAATGAGAGCTACAGTACAAGGCGGAGTCCTCCCAAAATGATTACAAGGCTCTAAACTGACATACACCGTTGCATCCTCGGCCAAATCACCGGCATCTCTCAGAGCAAAGACCTGAAAACAAAAATAAAAATTAAAACATGTATGTGACTATGTCGCCGGTGACACAAAAAATCGTGATTTGAATTCAACAAACCTCGGCATGAGGTTGACCAGGTTTAGGATGAAAACCTTGGCCAACAATTTGACCATGTTTGACAACAACACATCCAACTAATGGATTGGGGCTTGTATACCCCAAACCCTTTCTGGCAAGCTCGACGCTTTTCCTCATGTAAAACCCATCGTCATGACCATCACCGTCTCGATTCTTTTGGGAACAAATGACATAGCTACTCTTGGGACGAGGAGTTATTGATTTGGAAAAGGCATAAGTGAAATTGAGAGCAATTGTAGAGATAGGTCTGAGCATGGGATTGGTTGAAAATCTAGAATTGTAATATGGAACTGAAACTGATAACCCTACTGGTTGCATAGTTGGAACACACAAATGCAATAAATTTGATTGGATCATTGGGTTACTACTATCAATCGTTGTAATTGAATCATAGAAAATTGAAGAAACAAACCTCTGTCCACATCCACAAAATGGACGAACAAAGTCCTCTGCAGAACAGAACAGAACAGCATCCGCCAATTTGTTCTCTCGTTTTCACGCATCAAATAACAACACTTGATTTGATTTCGAAGTCATTCACTTTGACTCTATTATTCACTACACATTCTTATCAATTTTATTAAGTATATAGAATAAAACTTGTCCCAGAAAAGATACTTAAATGTTTTTTATTTTTATATTTTTTTATGCAAAAGATATAACATAATGATTAATATATCTTTAATTAAATTGTCATCTATTAATAAAATTAGGATAATATCGGAATAAAAATATTAATTGTATTTGGATTTATTAATATTTTTTTATATTTAAGGTAAAAAAATTTAGAAGACTTTTATTTATAAATAAGATTAGCGGGTGTATTTGTTTATCTTTTAACTTAAAAATATAATTTTCAAAAATATTGTAAAACAATAAATTATAATTGATTGATATTTTTTTTATTATTGAAAATACGGACAACCAGATATGAGTATGAATGCTTAGGTACCCATAAAATATATATATGAGTATAAACATGTGCGCATATGTGAATATAGGCTCGAATACGAGAATTTTTTTAAAGATCAACTATAAAAACAAATACTATAAAACCATGTCTAAACTCTGTCATTTGTCATTCCTATTTGTAGCACCCAAAATCAAAACATTAATTTGGTACTGAGTACAACATAGTTACTAAGCGACATCTGAATACACAAACAATATAATTATCTCAAAATACTGTACATGATAAAATCCCAGTGTCGATACAAACTAAGACCAAATATCCAAATATGGATTAGAGCAAATGTAACGAAATACAAAACAGATAACAAGTCTTTAACACATTTACATCATATTTTCCTTACATTTACCTTGACACGAGCTACCTGAAAAATAATGAACATGAATAGCATGAGATGCTACATCTTAGTGAAGTTCTTAACAACACCACAAGTTCGCTCGATTCTAAGGGTCCTTTATCCCTATTTTCATTTTACCAACACTAGACTCATGTACTATTACGTAAAACTAAAGGAAACTAAGCTTGTTTCAACTTTATACATCACATGAAAGTCGATGTCCTATTTTTGCAAGCCATGTAGAACTTAGGAGCTCGGTTAGCATATCAAATGTTAACGATGGACAACTAAGTTGTTTCCTAGTAAGGCAAGGTTTTAGGGTTTACCTGTCTCCCTTCTCGGGACCCCACTGAGGTGAGATCTTCCGAATTTACCTACCTTTCTTCTATCAGGGTCATACCCTCCTAATTTTCGACCTACAATTAAAGAAAGCCTTAGTACTCATGACTTTCACCCATTAGATTCCCTTTTTCTCATAATCACCGCATCAACATTTATCGATAATCGAAGTGTTGGATTCTAACTTGATCCTATGGTGTTCTCACTTACAAAATTATTTCCATTAGGTACATAGATGTATATCCATATGATTTATCATTAATATTTCCTAATTGATTAACCCAATGGACATTTCTTTCTATTTTTAATAAAAATCATCGATTGCCTTTCACCCGTATTATTTCTTAATGGTTTCCATTTCTTATCGCGCATGAATGTTAAAAGTTTCCAATTCAATTGACTGCACTTGATCACTCATAGTATAGCATGAGACACCACAGTCTCACCAAATACGATTTCATATAACTTACTTAGAATCAGTGAGTTTACGAGTGATTTTCCGTCCTTTTTCTTAGTCAACACACTCACAATAAGCATACAAAATAATACAAAATCATATACCAACTAGGATTAATAAAAACACAAAATTAGGGGAGTCAGAGGTCCAACATATTCCACTCGTGTCAGCCAAGATGGGTCGTGTTTAGGCCAGAACACCCCCTTCATACAAAAACCAGGGAGGGACACGATATTCCCCTACTGGCCAACACAGTTGTGCCAAGCCCTGACACTCACGCTACAATTTCCATAAGACAGCACAGCCACCCCGTGCCAGTGGACACATGCCTTGTCTAGCCTAGAAAAACAAGGGTTTTCACAACTTATGATTATGGTACCTACATTCATTCCAAAATTTTCAATCCAGTGCTCAAGCAACATAATATAACAACAACCATAAATCAAGTAGTATATTAATAATGAACAAGAATTATATTCGTATAATTATTCCAAGGTTTTAAAAAAATTAACATGCCACTAAGAACATGTTACCAAGTTCAAGATGCGCATCAAGGTTCCTTTAATTCTAATCAATTGAAGGCAATCTCATGCCACGAGTTTACGCAAGGAAAAAGAACAATTAAAAGAACATGAAATTTAACACACCCATCATCTATCATTTAGTCCACTAAACTCTAGGGCATTTCATGAAAGATCATCAATCCATCAAGAAACACCCCCAAAAGATAACTGTCTCATGCGTTATCCCAAGGTGCTAACCCAATCAATCCTAAATGTTAGGTTTTGGTTTGTTGGCTGCATTTTGTTAAAACAACTAGTTCAACAAGATGTTGGACAAGATGTCGTGACATGTTGGTATAATATTGTAGTTATGATGTTTCTAGTTTTGAAAGATTTGTTTTATAGTTTAGAAGATTTAATTGTTATTCCTTGTGGACCAAGCTACACATTTAGATATTTGATTTACTGAACATTTGTTTCAAGCCATAAATATATGAATATTTAGTTCTCAAAATAGAATGTCAAAACATTATTAAGAATATATCTTTCTGGACCAGAAGATTTTATTTTATTTGATTTGATTTGCAGAATATTTGTTTGGCTAGATTTAATATCCAAGCTGATGCACTTTTGTGGATATAAATAGAAGCATTCCAAACCTAAAGAAGATACGAAGTTGCACATGTGAGTATAGGCTTTATGATTTCGTCTTTTTGTTGTTCATTGTTCGTTGTGAGCCACTCTTGTATCTTGTTGATACATGAGTTAGAATCTTTAGTTGAGTTGTAATTTGTGAACTACTCATAAGCTGTTGTGTTCTATAATTGGAAATGTATCTTCTATTTTGATTGTCTTGGTTGTAATTATCACTGGTTTGTGACTGAGGGGAAGTGAGAGGAGTCTCATATCTAGAAGTTCCTAGATAGAAATTTCATGGATTAGGTGAGAAGTTTGTATAACCGGGGTTGTTCAAAACTTCAAACTAATACTATTATAGTGGATTTCCTTCCTTGCTTGGATGCCCCCAAATGTAGGTGAAGTTGCACCGAACTGGGTTAAGAATTGAATTGTGTTATTTATTTCATGCATTATTTCTAATTTTAACTGTATGGTCTATGATGTCTTAACATTGTATTCGACATTTGTTTTGTATAGTGTCAGAGTTTCAATTGGCATCAGAGCAGACACCCTATTCTGTTTTGGGTGAGCTCCTGGAAAGATATTTTCTAGAACTATGAACAAGGAAGGAGGAAATACTAACAGACCCCCCATGTTGGATGACACCAGTTATGACTACTCGAAAGAACATAAGGTTGCCTTTCTAAAATCTATTGATAGCAAAACTTGGAAAGTTGTTGTCAAAGGTTGGGTTCATCCTGTGTTGAAAGACAAATATGGGAAGGATATTGTCGTTTTAAAGCCATAAGAAGACTGGTCTAAGGAAGAAGACGAAGACTGGTCTAAGGAAGAAGATGAAATTTCTCTTGGAAACTCCAAAGCTTTGAACGCTCTGTTCAATGGGGTTGGCCAAAATATTTCCAGGTTAATAAACACTTGTACTATGGACAAAGGTGCATGGGAGATTCTTAAAACCACTCACGAAGCCACATCAAAGGTAAACATGTTAAGACTTCAACTTCTCACCATAAAGTTTGAAAATCTCATGATGAAATATGATAAGTGTATTCATAATTTTCACATGAGTATTCTTAACATTGCAAATGCATCAAGTGCCTTGAGAGAGAAGATGTCATAAGAAAAGCTTGTTAGAAAAATCCTCAAGTCTCTGCCTAAGAAGTTTGACATGAAAGTCACAACCATAGAAAAATCTCAGGATATTAGAAATATGAAAGTTGAAGAACTGGTTGGGTCACTCCAAACCTTTGAATTGGCTGTCAATGGTAGATCAGAAAAGAAGGATAAAATCATTGCTTTTATCTTCAACTGTGATGATAAAGAAGATCAACATAATTTGGAGACTGATGAAGGTATTTCTAATGCTATTGTGCTCATTTGGAGGCAATTCAATATGGTTCTGAAGAGAATGGATAGGCAGCAAAGATCAAATGTCAAGGACATGTCTTTTGACATCAATAAGAATAATGGCCTTCAGAAAAAAGGAAGAACAAAAGTAAATCCAAATCAAGAAAGAAGTATTCAATGTTATGAATGTGAAGGTTTTGGTCTTATTAGGCCAGAATGTCCCACACATCTTAAGAAAAATAAGAAAGGCTTATTTGTGTCTTGGTTTGATGATGGTCCTGAAGAGGGAACTGATGATGAATCAACTAAACATATTACTACTCTCACAAGAAGATGGACGTATGATGAAGAGTCATGTGATGAGGATATTTCATATGAAGAATTGGCCGCTTCTTAGAAAGAGCTCTATGTCAAAAGTAAAGAGGTGTGGAATATTGGTGAAAGGGCCATAACTCAACTGTAGGCTGAAAAAGAGAATCTTATGTCTAAAGTTTCTAGTCTTTAAGATTAGGTAACCATGTTGAATTCCAAACTTGATAACATGATCAAATAAGTAAGGAGGTTGAGAAATGGGTTTAATAGGTTAGATGAAATTCTTCAAGTTGGAAAAGGGGCTAGAAACCCGAGATATATAGGCTTTGACTACAATTCTCAGAAAGGGAAAACACTTATAACCAAGTTTATTTCTACTAGAAGAAAGTATAAGGTCAAGATGTTCAACCAAAAGTATCAACATCCTGCCAGACATCATAGAACTCAATCCAAATCCAAGTTCTTGCCATGTATATGTCCTTACTGTGGTAAAATTGGACATATAAGGTCTTTCTATTACAAATCATATGGTTATCCAAAGCCTCCAGAAAATCCTAGGGCTGATCATGTAATGATTAAAACTAAAAAGGAGTGGAAACCTA